CATGAACTAACTCATTTAATTCATTCAAGAACTCTCTGCGGTAGGTCTCAGGTAAGAGGACACACAGTCTGTGGCAGATCCAGGATTCAAAACCAGGCTCTCAACCCTGGAGGGTGAGAAAAGAAGCAGTTTACAGTGGTTCTGTTGGGGGGTGGGGGGGCAGTAAGAAGGAAGGGAAGCAAGAAAGCGAGGGTGCGGGCTGGCAGTGCAGAGCAGGTGGAATTAGAAGGTGGAAAGGAAGATTTTTACTTCTTTTATGCAGATAGTTCTTTTATAATAATTATTTAAAAAAATTTGTTTAGTGTTAAAACAGTTTCACAATTTTGAATTGAGGGGAAGAAAACCCAATAAGTAACCACGAAAAGTTTAAACAGAGGTGCTGTGACTAGCTTCATACTCACATTTTCATGTGCATTTTCAATTATTTTTTAGGATAAATTCCCAAAAGTAAAATCACTGGGTCAAAGGGTTTTCAGTCTTTTTAAGGTTCCTGATACATGCTGCCATATTACTTTGTAGAAAGATTGTGCTAAATTATTCCCATCAGCGGTGCATGAGTTTACCTCTCCTTTCACCATATTGGATGCTATAAATTCTTTTAATTACAGAGGTAGTACATTGCCCGTTTTTCAAAAATTAGAATAGTACAGTAGTACTATTAAAGTAGTTCAATAAAGCCCTCCCTTCACCCCGAAATCACATTCTCTAGGAATAACTAGTAACAGTTTGGTGTGTATCTTCCCAGAGCCTTTTTTTACATACATATATAGTGCATATGCACACTCTTTAAATATAATGACATCATGATATAGATACATAACATTATGCTACTTTTTTCATTCTGTGATATATCATAGACTTTCTTCCCTGTTGGTGCATATAGATCCACCTCATTCTTTTTTTTTTTGAGGAAGATTAGCCCTGAGCTAACTGCTGCCAATCCTCCTCTTTTTGCTGAGGAAGACTGGCCCTGAGCTAATATCCGTGCCCATCTTCCTCTACTTTATACGTGGGACGCCTACCACAGCATGGCTTTTGCCAAGCGGTGCCGTGTCCGCACCCGGGATCCGAACTGGCAAACCCCGGGCCGCCAAGAAGCGGAACATGTGAACTCAACCGCTGCGCCACTGGGCTGGCCCCGACCTCATTCTTTCTTAACAGTTTTATCTCACAGTATAAATAGAACCGTGGTTTATTTAAGGATTTCTCTAGTAATAAAAATCAGTTACATCTATTTTTTTCATGAATACAAATAAAATGGCATTGATCTTCCTTGTACATATATGCTTATGTACTTATACAAGTGATTCTATAGGGTAAAGTCCTAGAAGTGGGCTTGCCAGGTAGAAGGTTCTGTGCATTTACCATTGGGAATAAATACTGTCGCCTGTACCCAGTTTGTGCTCCCGCCAACAGTGTATGAGAGTGTCCAGTTCCCTACATCTGTCCTGGATATTATCAGGCTTTCATTTTTGTCCAACCGATTATCTCATTTAATTTTCATTTCTCTTATCACTATTGAGGTTGGGGTTCTGTTCATTTTTTTTTAGTTATTTATATTTCTTCTGTGAATTGCTAGTTCGTATCTTTTTTTTTTAAAGATTTTATTTTTCCTTTTTCTCCCCAAAGCCCCCTGGTACATAGTTGTATATTTTTTTAGTTGGGGGTCCTTCTAGTTGTGGCATGCGGGATGCCACCTCAGCGTGGCTTGATGACTGGTGCCACGTCCGCACCCAGGATTCGAACCGGTGAAATCCTGGGCCGCTGAAGCAGAGTGTGCGAACTTAACCAGTCGGCCACGGGGCTGGCCCCCCAGTTCCTATCTTTTGCACATTTTTCTCTTGAGATTTATCTTTGTGAAATTGATTTGTAGTGCTCTCTGTAATATAGATAGTAATTTTCTGTTACTAAATGTGAATGATTTCCCAGTTTATCATTTGTCTTTTAACCTGGTTTATGGTGCTTTGTGCCATGCAAAGCTTTCTTAATTTTAGTCAAATCTTTCAGTCTCTTCCTTTATGGCTTCTTAGGTGTCCCAACCCCAAGATTATGAAAAATATTCTCCTCCATTTTCTTCTATTACATTTATAGTATATTATTGTATGATTAGATTTTTTGATCTGTCTCTAATTTTTTCATATGGTATAAGGAAAGAAATCTCAATTAAAAAAAATGGATAGCCAATAATGCCATTGTGTCTTTCCCCCACTCATTTGAAATGCCACTGTTATCATACTCCCAATTCCCATATGCATATGAGTCTATTTTCAACCTTGTTTTCTCTTCTGTTGATGTATGTCTATGCCTGTGGCAGTATTTTAACTTCTGTTGCTTTATAGTATATTTTGATATCTTTTTTAAGAGATATTCTTGTGTATTTTACATTTATTCTTCCAGAAAACCATAGAATCAACTTAAAGTTCCATTTTATTGGCATTTCATTAAATTAAGTTAGTGAGAACTGAGATCATTCCAGTGTTGATCCTGTTCATCCAGAAGCATGGTCTATCTCAATGTTTTTTTGGGTTTTTTTTAAAGATTTTATTCTTTTCCTTTTTCTCCCCAAAGCCCCCTGGTACATAGTTGTATATTCTTTGTTGTGGGTCCTTTTAGTTGTGGCATGTGGGACGCTGCCTCAGCGTGGTTTGATGAGTAGTGCCATGTCCGTGCCCAGGATTTGAACCAATGAAACACTGGGCCGCCTGCAGCGGAGCGCGCGAACTTAACCACTCGGCCACGGGGCCAGCCCCTATCTCAATGTTTTTTTGAGGCTTCTTCTATATTTTTATTTCTAACCCACTTTTTGTTGTTTATTATAGCTTTTTATAACGAAAGTCTGCTATTTTGATAGGTGAAAATGATATATCACTTAATTTACGGTTTGATTCTAGAGAAGTCAAATTTTCTAAGAGTATGTTTAACTACTTATATCCTGTGAATTATTTGATCATATGCTTGATCTATTTTTCTGTTGGGGTCTTAATCTTTTATAAGCTTATATCATAAAGATACTAATCCTTTTTCACAGGTATAGCAGATATTTTTCCAGTTTATTGTTTGCCTTTTAATTTTACCACTTTTTTTTTACTCGGAAGTTGGAAAGTCTAATATAGTTAAATCTGTTAATCTTTTGTGATTTTTTATTATTGCTCTTAATGACCCCTAAATTTTTATCCTGAATGATTCCATATTTAGGACAGACAAATGTGCCATATGGAAAACTAGTCATGTTGACCTGATAATGGAATCAGTTAAGTAATTTCTTATAGATGTTTAATAATGTAGTGTTATTATAGTGTTAGTGATTGTTTTCATTGTAAATAACAATATTATGTATATCATATGTATGATATAATATGTATCAGAATGATTGAAACATTTGGTTATGATTTTTCATTCTAAGAATTTTTAATTTGGGGCAAGTGCAAGTGATTCTAACAGCTTTAACAAAATTCTGTGTCTTAAAAATTGTCAGTTTAGTTGTTTACAGTAGGTGATGTGTTCTGATAGGAAATTCACTGTAGTGTTGAGATCAGAAGATAGCTTTAATTGACTTCTTTGTCTTCACAGGGAGAGTTATTCACATGAATTTGTTTTGTTGTCTGTAAAACACTATCTACTAACTTCTACCTTTTCCCCTTTTTTCCTCCCTCAAAATTCTACCCTAGTTATGTGAAGCTGCATTGATATAAATTTTTATTAACTATTTTGCAAACAATCTAATGCTCTCAGTTCCTTGAGTTTACATATTCAAATATACTAATTGAATTACCCTTTTCTTATAATAACGAATGTGCTTTTATTTCTAAAAAAACAAAAAACTTTTAAAGTATCTATTAGGAAAGATATTAGCATCAGAGAATAGGAGTTGATATGCTTTCTCATTGAGAAATTAGTCCCTGGAATTACAACCGATAACTTATGGTAAAAGAAAAAACAATGAAGGTATTAGAGCTGTGCCTGAAACTTTCTGTATTTTGACCTTAAGACAAGTGAACATTTGGTTTTTATACCTTTTTTGAATGCTAAATACATTGTCTTATATACAGTAGGCCTTCAATAAATAAAATATTTGTAGTGAATAACTGAATGAAGCACCTTCTGTTAATGGTATAAATTCTTTTCAAATTGCTGTGAAATACAGTTCTAAAATTTCTATGTAAATTTTGTGTAATCCCTTACAGTATACATAACCAACTTGCAACATAACTTTTCTGCCGCTTATGTTAGAAATTCCTTTTATACTTAATATTTAATTACTTGATTGGTTGGCTAATTCATTTGTAGATGACTTCCTTACTGAATTTGATCATTTGACTTTCATGATAGTTTAAAGAGCTATCTAGAACAGTGCTGTCCAGTAGAACTTTTGTGCGATGATAGACACATTCTATATCTGTGATGTCCAATACAGATGCAGCTTTCCACATGTGACTCATAAGCACTTGAAATGTGGTCCATGTGACTGAGAAACTGAAGGTTTAATTTTATTTAATTGTAAGTGACTTAAATTTTAAAAGCCTCATGTTTCTCATGGCTACTATATTAGCACAGATATACCTTCTTTATTTTCATGTAGTTTTCCAAGTTATAGTAAGTTTATTTTCTAGGTGAGTGTTCTGATTTTACCAACTGTGTGAGGTAAAACTTTGAAACCTATGGTAAAAAAAACTAATAACAAGAACTAATCTTAAAAATTGACTTCTTGGAGTTTGAAAATGTTTACTGAATTATGTGCACAGTCAAGATCACAAAACTCATTTTTATAGAATTGTAAATTCAAAGAAAATAACTGTCACAATGATTATAAGAAAACTGTGTTTTGTATTTAATTTTTGTTGCATTTATATGAAATGTTAGCTTACTATATTGAACAGACCACAAACCATTTCTCATTTCTGGAGGTGATTTCATTCTAAGGAGAAACATATATTCTAAGTACCCGTGAACTAAGGCTCATTTTAAGATTGGTCGATGTAAAGCTTTTGTTCGTTTTTAAGCAGCTGATTTAGAAGAAAGTTTTAATGAACATGAACTGGAACCCTCATCACCTAAAAGTAAAAAGAAAAGTCGCAAAGGAAGGCCACGAAAAACTAATTTTAAAGGGCTGTCGGAAGATACCAGGTCCACATCCTCCCACGGAACAGATGAAATGGAAAGTAGTTCCTATGTAAGTAGAAAAATGTAGGATTCTTACTTTTTGTTTCACTATGACTATTTCATTTAAACTGTGTTTATAGGTAAAATTTATCATTTGAAATGTCAACTAAGCTTGAGGTACTGATAGCATATTTTGATGAATTTTTTTTTTTCTTTTGCATCTGCAGAGAGATAGGTCTCCACACAGAAGCAGCCCTAGTGACACCAGGCCTAAATGTGGATTTTGTCACGTAGGGGAGGAAGAAAATGAAGCAAGAGGAAAACTGCATATATTTAATGCCAAGAAGGCAGCTGCACATTATAAGTGCATGGTAAGCATGGTCCTTTTTATGTGCTTTTAAACTTAAGTTTTTTGAAAAGCATTTAGCTAGTAACCAAATAAGGCACTTTTCCCCCCAGCATTAGTATTTTAGAATTATGAATAGTATATCCTATAATCCCAAATCTTTGTAAACTTTAGATTTTTAAAAATGTGGACTTTATGATTTAGTAGGATTTAAAGTAATCCTGATTATAGTTAACATATTCCAGATAATCCATAATTAACTATTTCATAACTGTAAAAATTTCACCTTTACTGTAAACTGGTCATGAAGAATATGTTCGACCTCCACTATAACCTAGTAGATGTCTCTATTATTGTACTTGACACAGTGTGTTGCAGTAATTCATTTATGAGCCTCTCTCCCTTAATAAACTCTTAATTTCCTTGAGGATAGCACCTATATCTTATCTTTGCATCTTTAGATCCAGGTCTGACATACAGCATATACAAACGTTTTTGAATTAGATTGTATTGAATTACTCATCCCATTTTATGAGTAGGTTTTTTAAACTATATTATTTATATCAGAGGTTCTTAAACAGAGATGCCTATCAGATTTGCCTGGGGAGCTTTTTCCAAAATATGTACCCCTGGAGTAGATCCCAAAGATGTCTAGTTTGAGGGAAAAAAATCCCTAGGTGTTTCTGATCTGCATCCATGGTTGAAATTTGCTAATTTAAACTCTTTTTAAAAACTTTATGGAAATGTAAAACAGTTGAGATGACAGGGTGACACTATTGAAATCTTCATTTTTTTAATGAAGTATTTAATCTTGGCTTCATACTGACAGCCCCCAGTTTTATTTCATTGTCCTTATTTTGGATTATATTTTAATCAAATGTGACTATATTAAAAATATTTGAGTCAGTACTTGATTATTAAAGAAAAGTCATCTTTCTCAGGCTATTAAACAACACTTTTGTTATTATATTGTTTTATCTTTTTCTCACAAAGATTCTGAATATTAAATGTTCTTGCATTTTTCTTTTCTAGTTATTTTCTTCTGGCACAGTCCAGCTCACAACAACATCAAGAGCAGAATTTGGAGATTTTGATATTAAAACTGTACTTCAGGAGATTAAGCGAGGAAAAAGAATGGTCTGTGGTTTTATATTTATGTTATGCATCGTTACTCTTCTGACTTTCTGCTTTAAATTTAGAACACATCTCAAATTTATCCAGTCATCAAAAAGTTTAATACAAAGTAGTTCATATGTTAATGCAAAGTACATATTTGACTTATCTGTAATAAAATAAAAGATGCTGATGTTACTGAAACTTATTCCTCTTTCTATGTAACTTCATTACTTGAGAGAATTAGACTGAGATTTATATTTCAGGGTATTTGAGAGTCTTATTAATCAAATAAATGAACATATGAATGTGACACACCTATTAAGTTAAAAATGTTACATTGTTTCAGCTTGCTTAAAGAAAAATTCCATAACGTGAATATAGCAATGAGAACCTCCCCTGTTGTTATTCATTCATTTTTTTAATAAGAGGAAAAAAAATTTTTTTAAATTTTCTGTTTAGTTAAAGTACACGTATATAATTATGTCTCTTAAAATGTTTATCATAGCTTTAAAGTTTCCTTTATAAAATGTGCCTGAGTCTCATGTTTTTAAACATACTGAATTACTAATAAATAGCTTTAAGAAATATTGGCATCTTTATTGATCACTTACTCCTTTACAGTTTATGAGTATTATAAAATGTCAATGGAATGCAAAATCTTTTCTTTAAGACAGCAATTGTCTCTAGAAATGACTTTAATTTTTAAATTTTTTTATTGTGAAAATTTTCAAACATATCCAAATTAGAAAGACTAGTAACACACGTCTGTCCATCACCTTGACTCATCAGTTATCAAGAATTTGCGGCACTCGTTTCATCTATGCCTTTTATTCTTGTTGCTTGAAGTATTTTAAAGCAGAGCTGAGACTTCATATCATTTCACCTCTACATATTTCAGTATGTATCTCTTAAAAGTTGGACATTTTCTTACCTAACCACAATGTCATTACACCTTATAAATTAACGAGTCCTCAGTGTCATTTAATACCCAGTTTGTATTTGTATTTGCCCAATTGTCTCAAAACTATCTTTTTAAAGTGGATTTGTGTGAATCGGAATCCAAAGGAGGATCACACATTACATTTGGTTGTTGTATGTCCCTTAAGTAATCTAGGGCACTCCCTCCTCCCTGTCCTTGTTGTTTCTGTTTTTGTTTTGTTGTATGCCATTGGCTTGTTGAAGAAAATGAATTAATTGTCCTGTGGAATATCCCACGTTTTATTTGTCTGTTTGCTTTTTCGTGGTGCCATCTAACTTGTCCCTCTATCTGCCAGATTTTCTTTTGAAGTGGAAGTTAGATGTAAAGGCTTGATTAGATTCAGTTTCATCATTTTAGGGGGTAAGGATACTTCACAGGAGGGTCTGTAACATCCATATTTTATCATATCAGAGAAGTCATAATGTCTGATCCCTGGATTCAGGTGGTGAGTCTGATCCCTCCGTTGTGAAGTTCCCCTTCAGTGTTTGATCTAGTGGTTTCAAACATTGATGATCTTTGTCTGAAACCCTTAGAAATGACCCTTTCTTTGTGGAACTGCATTTTTGAAGGTGTGAAGATTGTTGATGTTATCTGTTCCGTTTAAATCCAGTTGAGGTTATCGATATTTGGTTACTTTTTAAAAAATGAAACTGCTTTGAAACAGAACCGTATAGTACTGAAAAAAAAGAGAGAAATGACTTCATCATATCTTACAGGGCAGTGTTGTGTCTTACAGCTAAAGTCCAAATAGGTGACTAGGATAATAATTCAGTTCTCTTGATCAACTTATTTACCTCTGCACTGTTGAATGTTAGTGGAAACACTCACCTAGCATTTTCCCAAGTATGCTCCAAAGGAAATTAGTCCATCAGAATGCTCCTCCACCCTTCCAAAAGTATAAAAGAGCATCTGGAGTTCGATAAACTTGGGAACCGTTTACTAGGCCCTCCTTCCTGGAGAAAAGTCTGTGAGAAGTTCTGCAATCAAGCAATCTGTTTAAAACTAGCATTTTTCAAACTTATTTGACTCTGAAACCCTGTGGTCAACAATCACCTTTTAATTTCAGAACATTCTTGAGGCAAGGTTGATCTAGACCGAAATTAGAAGTCTTGAAAAGATTTCAGCCCCTTTAGTGTCCCTCTGCCATTTTGCCTACTTGGTAGCATTCCCTCTCCGGGGGGAATTGCTTTCCTGTCTTCTCATTCTTTCCCCAAGTCATAATGGGAAAGGAACTGACCCCAGGGAGGAAAAGACGCCAACTACTAAAATATAGAATATCCTTCTTTTCTGTGTGTTTGGCAGTATTAAGGAGTGTCTTATTTATGTTTAAATGTCAGATCTCCGATGGTTAGTACAATTAAATAATGGAAACATCAGGGGATGACAATGTTAGAAAGTCTATCAAAGTCTGGTTTAAGTTGCAGCATTATTTAATACATATGCTATATGATAAGTTCAGTGCACTCTTTTTCAGTAGAAAACTGGCTGTTTTCTTTGTAAACTGGAATGTTTGGCTGAACTCTGGCTAAAATGGAATAAATCAGATTGCATAAACTTTGAAATAGTGCTTATGATTATTCTTTCTCTTCCCTTAAACAGAAATGTACACTTTGCAGTCAGCCCGGTGCTACTATTGGATGTGAAATAAAAGCCTGTGTTAAGACTTACCATTACCACTGTGGAGTACAAGACAAAGCTAAATACATTGAAAATATGTCACGAGGAATTTACAAGTAAGAGAACAATTGTCCCTTTTCCTAAACTTGTCAGTAAGTAACTGCCCTTGAATAGATGATGTTAGTTTACTTGATCACTATTCTTAGGTAGTTTTAAGCCAAGTATAGAATACTGGGGACTCTTTAAAAGAAATGACTACTGCAATTGGCATTTTCCTCTGACTACACATCCCTGGGTTGGCATTCATTCAACCAGTATTTATTATGCTTACTATGTACCAGGAATTGTGCTAGGAGGTGGGTATACAGTAGTGAACAAAACAGACGCAGACTGTGTCTTCAGGAAGCTTACAGTCTAGTGGGAGAGACATGTTCATTAAATGGCCACATAAATAGGTACGCAATTACAAACTACATTAAGTGCTCTAAAAGATGTGTTACAAAGCTCTGTGAGAACGGATAGCAAGGAGGAGCTAACCTAGTTTGTAGTGGGGGAGTATTTAGGAATGTCCTTAAAGAAATAGTGCTTGAGTTGAGATTTGAAGGGCAAAGATAAATGTGGACACTGGGAAAGTGTTCTAGTCAGAGAGGACGTGCGCAGGACCCCAAAGTGCAAAGGTGCAAATGGGGAGGTGAGTTTGGAGGCCCCTGCTAAGGGTCCAGGTGAGAATTGTTGGTGGCTTAGAATAGGATGTAGTTGTAAAATAGGCCAAAAGATACTCTTGGAAGAATGATGAAAGAGTAAGATGTGGAGCTTTTGGATTACATGTTAGCTTCTTTTTTATGGGTCTTCCACTTACCTGTGCTGCCTTGGGCTACTGGTACCAATGTGCATCTATAATGGTTCCATTTGTTTAATCAAATGGAAAATAGGTTCGTAGGGGTCCCTGAAATTTTGATTTGCCTTTGTGAGTTGTAAAGCACTTCCTTATTCTCACACTTCCAGTATGCAATAAACCAGTAACTCAAGGTCCACTGCTCTGTGTACAGAGCAGTTTACATAAGCAGTGACCACGTCATTTGGGTTACTGCATGAGGTGCTAATGCTGTATTAAAAAATTTGCCAAACTTTGTTTAATAATAAAGGCATACATGTTTTTCAAGTGAATTCTATCAAGCTTTTAAGGATCAGATAATTCCAATGTTATTTAAAGAGGTCCAGCGCATATTGAAAGATGGAAAACTTCTTGGTTCATTCTGTAAAACTTGCATAGCTGTGACACCAAACCTGACGAAGATAACATTTAAAATAAAAGCAAACAAAAAAACTGTAGACCAATCTTACTTTTATAAATATATATACCAAAATCCTAAATAAAATATTAGAAAGTCAAATCCAGTACTGTAGTCTATCATTAAAGAGTGTTCAAAATTAGGAAATATATTAATATGATCCATTATAATTAATAAAAATCTTATTACCTTCCTGGTGGGTGGTAAAAAGACATTTGATACCATTCATCATCCATTTCTGAATTGTAAAGTAAGGTAATGAGTGCTTTGGTAATCTAGGAGTCTTCGTAAAGTGTTTATGAGAAAACAACAGCCAGTAGCTTATTTAGTATTAAAGTAAAGGGACGATGGTTCTTAACCATGGGCCGAACCTCAGGATCATCTGGGGGTGGATAGGGCCCTCTAGAAATGTGCATGCTTGGGCCCCACCCTCAGAGATTTAAATTCAGTAGGTCAGGCCCCAACGATGTATTTCGATGATTCCCCAGATGGTTCTCGTGTTCCTTTCTAATTGAGAACCACTACAGTAATACACTTTGATTCAGATCAGGAACAAGACAGGGGTGCCAACTACCAATATTTTCAGTGTTCTTCTGAAGGATTAAGCCAGTGCAACAAAAAAAGGAGGAAAAATGTATAATAAACTTGAAGGAGAAAAATAAAATTGTCAATAATATTTGTCATTGATATCATTGTTATCAAGAAAATCCAAAGGAATCAACTCTGAATTTATTAAAATTAGTAAGAGTTCAGTAAGGTTGTTGAATATGAGATGAATTTTCAAAACCAATTCCAGTAATAACTAGTTAGAAAATGTAAAAGAAGAATATCTACCCCCTACACACACACACACACACACACACACACACACACACACACACACACACACACACACACACACACACACAGTCATTCACTCACTCATTCTAAAGGAGAACTTTTCTTTAAAAGAAAAAAGAATTTTACACAGGACCCAAACGAATGGCAAAGCATATTGTGTTCCTTGATAGAAACACTCAATGTTGAAAGATACCTGTTCTCCCCCAAATTAATTTATATATTTAATACAATTTTAATGAAATCCAAATTGTCGACAGTTTTCTCTAGAAGAGTAAATGTATTATTTTCTATTTGTAATGATTAAGTTACCTTTGTATAACAGGAAAGAAAATAGAAGCTTAAATAAGATAGAAGGTTGTTTCTCCTCTAAAAGATGTCCAGAGGAAAGCAGTCCAGATGTGGTAGGCAGCTTTTCAGTGTCATTGAGGTCCTAGATTACCATCTTTCTGCTCTCTCATCCTCGGAACATCCATCTATAGCTAGTAGGACGAAGCAGGAGTCAAGAAAAATGGAAGGACAAAGTGGGTATTCCTCCAATTGAGATGGTCTTTACTCAGCCTTCCAGGAAGTTCCACACAGCCTCATTTGCCAGAATTTGGTCACATGTCCAAGGGAGACTGGGAAATATACTCTTAGTGGGTACATTGCTACCCAAATAAAATCTGGTTTAGTACTGCAGAGGGACGGGGAGAAACTAGATATTGGGGTAGTCACCTAGTCTTTATCACATACAGCCAAGAAGATTTTTAATGCTATTGAGAAGAGAAATCCCCTATTAGATATCAAAGCCAATCGTATGGTACTGGGGACAGTGACAAAGATCGCAGGAAATAGATCCATGTCTTTGTTGCAATCTTAAAATAATTACAGTAGCATTTTATAGCTGTGGAGATAAGATAGATTATTCAGTCCATGATATCTATACAGTTGGCTTTCCAGGTAGAAAACATAATTTGGATCCTTACTCAGACTGCACCCCAAAATAGATTCTTGATGGATTAAAAATCTAATCATAAAATATAACACTATAAGTGTGAGGAGGAAATACAGAGTTTTTCTATAATGTTGAGTATAGAAGCCTTTTCAAGCATGATAGGAAACTCAGAATTTTTGATTACATTAAAATTAGACTGTATAAAGAGAACTCCAAATCATTAAGAAAAGCACAACCCAGTTAAAAAATGGGCAAAGGACGTGAATAGGCAATTTATAGAAGAAATAGCTGTGGGTTACAAGCATGTGAAAAACTCTTCAACCTTATTAGTAATGAAGGAAATGCAAATGAAAACAAGATCTTAACAGTTTTTGCCTATCAGATGGGCAAAGATTAGTAGGATTCATAGTATCTGATGTTAGCTGGGTTCTGGAGAGACAGGCATTCTCATTTGATATTAAGGTAGAATATAAATAGGTGCAACTTTTTAGGAGAACAGTTTATCATTGGAGACGAAAACCTTAAACAAAATAACGTGTAGCTTTTGCTACGAATCTGCTTGTAGGGATTTATCTCAGGGAAGTGAGCAGACAACAATACAAAGAAGATTCATTGCATTATTGTTAATGATGCTGCAGTGCTCACCAGGGCACCTTTTTAGACTCAACTGTACTTCAGACTGAGATTACCACAGATGGCATCAGTCTACTCAAGAAGGGTATAGACAGGAACTGCAGCTTGCCAGCAGGGCAGCATCAGCTGTTCTTTCCTTACAGCAGTCAGTATAGTAGTACAGCTCAAGTCCAATAAGATGATCCACATTGGGTGGGCATGGGATCCACCCTGGCTTAAAAGCCTCATACGTCTTACGATATATAGTCATGTGCTGCATAACGACATTTTGGTCAACGACGAACCACATAGATGATGGTGGTCCCATAAGATTAGTACCGTATGACCTAGGTGTGTAGTAGACTATACCATGTAAGTTTGCGTAAGTTCACTCTGAGGTTTCCACAACAGTGAAACTGCCTAATAACACATTTCTCAGAACCGATCCTCATTGTCAAGCAAAGCATGACTGTAGTTATATTGGCATAGATAATTTTTAGGTTACACCACAGGGAGAGAGGACCAAAGATCCGGCTTCTTAACAGAATATTTATAATTCTTCCAGTCCAGATGCAATCTACCAATTAGGCGGTAATAGAGCTTAGTAAAATAGTTAACATACCAATGTTTGTTAAGTTGCCAAGGGAACACAGCTAGAGAGTTAATCAAAGATAAAATTCTCATGAAGAATGGGAAAAGATTTTTGTTAACCTTTCACCCACGATAGCAAAAAAAAAAAGAAAAGAATCAGAATGTCCATTAGGAGACTTAATAAATAAATTTTAGTGTATACATTTAGTGGAATACTGTGCAGCAATTAAAGGATGAAATAGATCCATGTAAACAACTAAAATTTAAATTTTAACTTTACGTATTACCTTAATTACTCATTTTCATTTTGGGGAAAAACAGGAAAATCTAGATAAGGAAAAAAAACTTATTGTGAACTTTAATTCTACCTCCAGACATAATTTTAAATCTTTTGGAATATTTTCTTCTAGACATTTGTGTGATTATGTACATGTGTATATTTATAAAAACAAGATTTTCTTACATACACTGTTTTATAATCTGTTTTTCACTTACTGTATCTAAGGTGTGTTTTTCTGTGACATTAATCTGTTTGATATCACTACTTTAATGGTTGCATAGTATTCCATTGCATGGGTATATCAGTTTGTTTAATTGGTTCCTTTTTTATACATTTAGGTGGGTTTTACCCCTTAGAAAATCATGTTACGGTGACCATCTCTAAACAAAAATATTTGCACTGGGATCCATGATGAATTGCTCTTTTTGTTTTTTTCACATTGAAATTTGTTTCTAAAATCTGCTCATAATGTGGAGTCCAGATCTTTTCGTAGAGACCATTGAGTTCAAGTGAGAGTCCATATGCAGGTAGTTTGGGGAGAGAAGAATGAACAAATAGGAGGAAATGCAAGGAGGAATATTTCTGAATGAATTGGCTTCCCTCTCTCCTACATGTGGCTTTTTGGATCCTGAATATATTCATATTAAAAAGGCTAGGGAAGATTATATAGTGATTCTGTTTATCCTGTTATATTGTATTTCTAAACTATTTAAATATGGATTTTTCTAAAATGTCATTCTCCCAACATAACAAAGTAAATTCTGTGACAGCAAGAATCTTGTTTGACCAGTTGACACCTGTGGCCTTAGTGCCTAGACTGGTGACGGATACATAACGGGCCTATGGGAAATGGTCCTTGAGTGAAAAATAACCCCATAAAAAGATTAAAATTTGTTCTAACAACAAAGGATTCATCCTTTTAAATAAAACTCTGTTATACAAATTTTCAAAAATAGAATAGAGTAACAACTCCCCATCTCAGAAGGTACCAAGTAATTGCCACAGTTGTTTCATCTATTTTTTTTTCTTTCTGAGGTATTTTAAAGCAGAATCATTGATCGCGTGTCATTTTATCCCTACAGACTCCAATATCACTATGCCATTACCACACTTTGTAAAATCAATAGTAAGTTCTTAGTATCATTTCATACCCAGTCCACTTTCACATTTCCCTCATTGTCTTGAAAATGTCTTGATTTGTTCAAATCTCAATACATAGAAGGTCCCTACATTGCATTTAATAGATATGTTCCTTAAGTCTCTCTTAATATAGAGCAATCCACACTCCAGCCCCACCTTTTCTCTCTGCTTGTTGAAGAACTCCATTAAGTTGTCCTTTAAGAGTCCCACATTCTAGGTTCCTCGGTTTGCTTTTTCATGATACCACATACCTTGTTTCTCTACCCCTCCATATTTCTTGTAGTTTGTAAGTTGGTTCAAAGGCCTAATTGGGTGCAGGTTATATTTTGGGGGATGATACTTCATAGTGCACTATGTGGGAGTCTTACTCTTGGTGTTTGAACTCGTGATTTAAAAAAGAAGATGATTCCACTGTGCAGCATTTGAAGAGTACCAATTGTCCATAGTTCTTTGAGAATGTTTTAAGAATAAAAAATTGATAAGCAAAACTAGGTCAGAAGTCACTTGCTATTGTTGCCCCTCCCCCACCTTTTATGCTACTCACGTGTTAGAAACTTCTAATGTTAAACCTAGCTCTAGATCATTTGTGGTGGATGAATTCCTATATGATCATCTGTTATCTATTGCTCATCATAATAGGGTATCCACTGAAGATTTTTAAGCATTGTTCCATCTTACCATCTTGTGTATAATTGACCTAAAAGTGAGTTCAGATCAGCCCACCCTTTGATTGCGGTGGGGGTGGTTAGCTATAAAAAGTATATTGGTGCATATACGTTAAAGTGGCCTAAAGCCTTGTCCAAAACCTCCTGCATTGCTGTTTTCATTAAAATAAATGAATTTCAAGTATACAGTGTATATGTCCAAATAAAAGATCAGCATAAAAGAACCCACATGTCAGAACAGCATGATGTCAAAGTATCACTCCAGAGATTTGCTAATTTTGAAGAGAAAAACGTACCTTTACACTGGAGAAAAATCTGGCCATCATCACCACCATAACCAAATGATCAAACAGCATCGCTAATAGTGGGGCATTCTGAAATTACATGCCTCCTTAGGTATGCAGCATCACCTGCAAACTATCCTGAACTAACGAAGAGATGTTGAACCTAAAGCGAACCAAGCCCTTAGACCTTATTTCCAGTTTACAAAAAATAGGGGTGAGAGAAAAACAAATAAAACTGTACCAGTTAGACAAATCTAAAATGTAGTATACTTGACAAGGTATCTGGTCTAACTCCTCCCAAAAAGTCAGTGTCATGGGAGAAAAAGAAGGTGGGGGACTCGGTCTAGATCAAGAGAGACGTAGCCAAGTGCCATGCCTTGAAAACTGTCAGGTGACTCATAAAGGTGTTCTGCTGATGGCCAGGACACTAATGACAAGGCATTTGAAGAGTTTGAGTAAAATTGTTTCATGAAATGGGAGCAGAAAGCAGTACAGATAGAATTTATATTATTTCCTAAACTGTGCTTTTAAATTATGTATATGAAATGTTACAGAATTTGATTATTTCCTCTGTATACCTGAAAGTTGATATTTTCAAGTTGGCCAAAAACTTTGTTTTTAATCTCATTGGCCAAAAGGAGCAATTGCCTTATATTTGTGCATATGTGATAACTTAGCTTTCATCCTAAACAAGAGGTTTTATTTCAGAGGAACTTTTATCAGCTCATTAATAGAGTGCTTTCCTATCTTTTAGATAGAAATGGACCTGTAACTAATTGTGGAGTGTTTTTAAAAGTTTGGATGAGGAAACCCATTTTTTAAATGGGCACCAACCTCATCCACTAATAACATAAAATATATTCTCATCAACAGTGACAAAACGTTTTGAGATTTTTATCTTTCATCATTGTAGACTATATTGTAAAAATCATAGTGGAAATGATGAGAGAGATGAAGAAGATGAGGAACGAGAGAGTAAAAGCCGGGGAAAAGTAGAAATTGATCAGCAACAACTAACTCAGCAGCAACTTAATGGAAATTAGGTATGAAAGTTAATTATATCGGATCTGTTGTCAGGATACAATACACACTGATAAATACATGTTAAAGTAATGGTGTGCAGTATGATTTTTTTAATGCTCTTATGTTTAGTTAAGCATGTTACTAGAATGCTGAGGATTGTGTAGGCTTGCATAGTTTTTTTTTAACTAGCTGATTTTGTAACAGTAAAAACAAGCTATCCACTTTATCAATAAATGTAGTTGTAATGTCAAACCAGTAAGATATTCTCGCTCCTCAATAACATTATTTTTATTGTGTTCCCCTCAAGCATCATATTTTACATTTTTTTATCATCTTTTAAACAGGTTCATGGGACAGAGTTAGAAAACTGGGAATGAATAAGACATCCATAACTACTATTCTTTTTTCACTGTTTTCTAAAATCAAAAAGGGTTTGTAACTTTTTACTGCCCAACTCTTAGATCCTTCATTGAACTGCCTAAAAACGTCTCGTTTGTTTTATGAGCCTTCACTAGATGGCAGAGTTTGACATGTTGATATTACGTAGCCGTAGTTTGCAGTTTCTGGGAAGCAATTGAAACACTATTAACCCTGTGTATAGTGTCAACAGTTAAAGCAGACATTGAAATGAAGTAAGCTATATTTCTGGACTGAACAAAGTTCTGCTGTTTAGAGTGTCTCAGTTTGTTTAGTGGCTTCATACTCAAGGGAAAGCATAAGCAAATTTCACTTTACAGTGCAAACACGCCTCTGGTGGCAACACTTGGGAATTTGTGAAGTTTTTTTTTTCACACTCAAGTAATGGAGGCTAGAAATGAAGAGAACCTTCTTTTTCTCTTGGCTTTGACAGCACATGCTAAAAATCTCTTCCAAGAAGTGTGCTAAAGCTTTTCGTTTGGTTCCTGTTAAAGTTGTTCTCACTGACCAGCATGGACTCGGGCAACTGGTGATTATAAGCTATGAGCTGCAGTGCTTATGCCAAAATTGACAGTAAACCTCTTCTCTTTTCATGTCATACAAAGAGCTGCTCGCAAAGTGATTGGATCCTTTCAAGTTTAAACTAACATTTGGCAACAGCAAATTAAACCTCTTTAAGATTTAAAGGGTTAGCACTCACTAAGGACTTTAGCCACCAGGTCTGAAGCCCGTTCCTCTCAAGTGCCGTGTGGTGTGGAACACTTCATCTATTGGCTCAAAGCATGTAAGGAGGTCTCATGTGCTACAGGACTAAAAACCAGTCTTTGCATAAAACAGTATTTATTTTTAATTTTGTGACCACTATTTTAGAAACTTTATTTAATATTTTTCATGTTTTCATTCATTGCTTTGCTCATCTATTACATAGCCTTTGGTGCCCCACTTTTCTTCGGGTGGGGCTTGATGGTGTTTTATCGATTATCAGAATTGTTTCTCAAAGCCTAAGAACCCAGCTTTTTAGAAAGGATTTTCATACTGGCATTTCTAGCCTAGTGATATTTTCTTCCACTTGTCTGCTGAAGCACATTTATATATTTCTTTATGGCAAAACCAAAAAACTTTAGTTGCGGTCTGCCTAATATTACCATAGCACCTCAATATCAAGGGTGGGGATTCTGATTTCTGAATTACTAGTTAACCTACCACATTGAAGCAAATTAAGAAGCAAGAAATAACATGTTAACTTGACTGTACATTGAGATATTCTGCAGCTTATGGAAAAGCATTTTAAAAATGTAAGAGGTGGAAAATTACACTGTGCTTAATGACTGATTTTTTTTTAACTGCTGGTCCCTTAAAGTCACGTTTGTCAAGTGTGTATTCACACATTTACTTAAATCAAGGGACTTGACGATTGCTTTATTTTAACCATCTTTTATTATTTTTAGAAGGAAATTAGCTTTAGTAGCGGGTTGCCCTGTATGTTTTTCTGTTTTTGCTCGAAATATGCCATTGGGTTTTTTGTGTGTATGTGATGAATTTTCAAAATTCACCATGACTTGAAGTGCAACGACAGATCTAGATGTTTGTTTACCAAGCTATGTGACTTTTCCCAAAGGATCTGTATTTTATTTCCTTACAACAGCTTGAAACCCGTTATTTTAAATCTTTGAATCACTGTGTCTAGATCATTTTTACATTGTGTGCCATAGACTTACCCATGGAACAAGAGAGCACCTTCATTTTTGGACAACTACTGTAATGATGTTTTTCGGAAAAATGGAAGGTGCCGGGGTAATAATGGCCAGTCAATAATCATGTAATGGACTTCAAATACTATAGCTGTCAGTTGATGGATTTGTTATGTAATAAAATGTATGACTTTTTATGGGTTTCTTCAACCCTTTCTCTGCCACTAGCAACCAGAATAGCACTTTACCTTTTGGTTGGCTAGATAAGTGGCTGGCTACCTATTCTTCTCACTGTGGTGTGATTGGCTAAACAGTCATTAAAAATTGAAATGTAAATTGAAGTCACATGAAAAATCACATTTGGTTGTAAACCTCCAATATTTTGATTCTCTATCCATGTTTTCGTCACATGCTGAGTAAAAGTGCCTTACAATGTAAAAAGTGTACAGTACTTATGTTCCCAAGTAGCATCATCATCTTCTGGGTAGTAATTACATTGTGGTATGAATATTTAGAAACATGGACCTCAGCAGTGTATTTACTGTTCATCTCTTAAGTCCTTAACTGTAGTTTTAATAAGCATGACATTATTTGATAAGTATATAACATTTACATCATTTCAAAAAAATACTGCCATGACTGTCTTTTATGCATATTTTAGCTTGAAATTTTGAAGCGTCTTTTCTTTCTTTCCTTTATTCTTTTTTTCCTTTTTTTGTTTTGTTTTTGTTATTGATATTAAACAGTGTAATCTTTGCAAGCGTATATTGAAGATTATTCTGGAGCATTTATTGCCTTACCAGAAATGTTAGTATGAAATGTTCTTTAGAGTAGAAAGATAGACTTGAGTTTCTATACTTTAATAAGAGCTCTTTGTTCCTGGGGGGAGGGAGGGTGGGGGGTGAATTTTACTTTCATCTCAATTTATTAAAAACCCACAACTGAAATACATTTTATTTCAAGATCGGCAATTTTAGAATTTCAGATAGTTCTTGCTCAGGAGTACATGCTACTCAAGATATTAAGAGAATAACAAGATATGTAGATCTACTGTTGAATCAGAATCTATGTACTTGAAAAAATGTGTGAATCTTACATATCTCAAAGAAAAAGAAAAGTGTTCTAGAATGTTGCTTTTTTTAAAAAGCGCTAAAGTTAGACCAAGGTATACGGTTTTGTTCTAACAGATATTTAGGTTAATTGTAAAGATAAGGAATGCATTATGGGTCAAAATCAAACATTCCTCTCATGTTATGTATATTTTGTTCCTGTTATATTGGCTTTATTTTCAAAATTGTAGTTTGTAGTATTAGTTTCCTTTTATTGGTATTCTTGCATATACTATTCATTCAATAAATGAGTTATGACTTTCATGTTTGTATGTATGTCTTTTTTGTGAAAAGTATAACAAAGCTTATTTGTAACAGCAATAGTATTGTGTTCCTTTTAGTCTTGCTTTATTTCAAGGTTAAATGCCTAGTTTGTTTAGTAACTTATTGTTAAACAAGTATGAGAGAGAGATGTGAATTTGAGTTCAGAGTTTCACAACATAAAAGGTTTTATCTGGAGAGAAACAGCAATCTTTCAAGTACAGTGGAACTGCATTGCATCTTAGTTCTTTTGATACATATGGCTTAAATTACATCCTCTGGAACCTAGTAGGAAGGTGATTTCGAAAATAAATCAAAACTCCTAGTACAGTTTATCTGATTGGTAATAAGCGTGCAAGATTAATACCCTCATCATAAAGGGATTCCACCTTAGAGATTTAAATTTACTCCCTTTACCGTGGGCAGCTTACTTCTAGTACAGTGCTCATACATTGAGGTGCTCATATCCAGGGCAGAAAGCAGAGTTTTAATTATTGGAACATGCTCATTCCATACACACAATTCCTAACATGCGTTCCTACTCAAGAGGAAAAAAGAATCAAGTAACAGGTTCTGATTGACGCTGGAACTATAGGTTGGTGTGCTTTACTGTAAACGTTATCTAATAGTGCTGGGGGGGGGGGTTGAAATCTATTATTTAGTTTCATTTTAATTACCACCATAAAAATGTGGAGAAGGGAGTTAGTGTGGTTTTCTTCAGCTAACTGCAACTATTGACAGCTGGGGTGTTTTGTTTTGTTTGTGTTTTCTTTTTTCAGCTGCATTCATCTGTAATGGCCGAGGTCATTCCAAAGCATGAACCTGGCAGAATTTCCTAGGAAAATGTTTTGGCCAGCAAATGGCCAGGCCATCTTTTGAAGGGAAAAACCCAGTCCCTCTTATATATTAGAGTGCTCAGTTGTGGGAACAGAGTGCTGCTTTTGTATCAGCCATTGTTACATAGTTTTGCTTTGTTCAGATAATGAAGTAACTAGACATTAAGGGCGTAGGGCAAAAATTTACTCTCGAGTTTTATTCAGAAGATGAAAACTATAAAATAGCAGTCACTATGCAAGTCACGATAGCATTTTGAAGTATTACACTGTAGCAGACATGTTCTGCATATGGTCACTGTACTGAAGTCAGATGGTCAGACCTGGGTCCTTGTCAAAAGATGTGATATCCATAAACATCCAGATTATGCCTTTGTCCATACCTCTGTGCGTATAAAAATGTTTTTATGTTGGGAGTGGGGGCAGTGGCAGGGAGATAGGGAAGACGCGGCTGGGCAAAGTGCTGACTGGGTCTGCCATGTGAATGATAATAGTCTAAGAAACAAACTCATGTGAGAACAAAAACACTGTTTGAAGGGGAAGCTTTTCAAATGGGACCTGAGAGAGTAGGTATTCAAGAGAGTGTTAGGAGCAGGGAGATAGAAAATAAACTGTGCTTTAATATAGATATTGGATTTAGAGTTGTTGAGTTTCTATAAAGTGATTTCTACAAAAGGGTAAGGTTTTTCTGTTTCTGAGTATTTTTAAAATCAGCTATTTCCAGATTTTTATTTATATAAGTCATATATAGCCATAAAAGGAAATGAGGTACTGATATCTGCCACAACGTGGATGCACCTTGGAAACATTATGCTAAGAAGTCAGGCACAAAGGGTCGCATATTGTATGACTCCGTTTATGTGAAATGTCCAGAAGAGGCCAATGCATAGAGACAGAATGCAGATTAGTGGCTGCCAGGGGCTGCAGAGAGAGAGGAATGAGAAGTGACTGTTAACAGGTATGGGGACTCTTTTTGGGGTGATGAAAATGTCTGGAATTAGATAGTGGTGATGGTTATACAACTTTGTGGCTATACTAAAAACCACAAATCATACACTTTAAAAGGGTGAATTTTATGTAATGTGAATTTTACCTCAGTTAAAAAAAGTAATGTTCTCATACAAAATTAAAATATACAAAGATACGTAAAGCAAAATGAAAATCCCCCCCTTCTCCACAAGCCTATTCCCCAGTATTTGATATGTATCCTTCTAAATGCTGTGGGCACGTATGACTTACACACTTTTTTTTTTTTAGCATAAATGGGATCATGCTATACCTACAGTTCTGCCCCTTGTCTCTTTCACTTGGACAGCCCTACAAGGTGTCGGTACCGCTAGATTTCTCCCGTTCTGTTCAGCAGCTCCATGGTGTTGCCGTGTTTGGATGAACTGGAATTGTCCTGTCTAGTCTCACATACATCTTCAGGCTCTTGTGCAAGTAATTTCTTAGGCTAAATTTCCCAAAGTGGAACTGCTAAGGAAAGGATCTGTACCTTTAAACTGTTGATAAAAATTGCCATCCAAAAAATTTGTACCAATTTAAAAGTCCATTTATAGGGATTAAGCTTTCCTGCCTCTCCACTCTGAAGGAATGTTTTTTTTTTAATTTATTTATTTTATTTATTTATTTATTTGGTTTTTTTTGAGGAAGATTAGCCCTGAGCTAACATCTGTGCCCATCTTCGTCTACTTTATATGTGGGACGCCTGCCACAGCATGGCCTTCTGAGTGATGCCATGTCCGCACCCGGGATCCGAAGTGGCGAGCCCTAGGCCGCCGAAGCAGAACGTGCGCACTTAACTGCTGCCCCACTGGGCCGGCCCCTCTGAAGGAATGCTTTTTAGTGGAAAGAGATATGGTACTTTTTTTTAAGAAATAATATACACATTCTATAGAAAATTTTATGGGGTTTTAGTTTTGTGGTAAAGACCATATAGACTTTATCTCAAAGTGGAATATGAATTATCTTTGGGAAACGGGACACTATTTCATTTGTGAAAAGGTTAAGTCAAAAGGTTTGCTTCGTATGTATTATTAACAGTAGTAATTGGTGAATCATTTCCCTTCCTTCTGCTTTCTGAAAAGTAACAGATTGCTCATAGCTGTTCGTTGTTGCCAGATGGATCTGCTTCTGTGTGTGTCCAGGGTCATATGTAGGTCGGTCTGGTGTACTCGAAGGGGTCGGATAATTTGTTGGAGAATCCCTATGACCTTTATCTGATGTGACAGTTCCTACTCCCCAGATCATGACTGTGTTGAACAACTGGTCAATTAGTACAAACAAGATCAAATCATTTGAACTTTTCACTTTTCAACAGTTGTTTTGTCCTTGTATAAATAAAATCTAAGACTAACCAGAAAAATTGACTTGATGTACATATCATGCTTTTAGCTCACTGCTAGAAAATTATTACTTTCATTTAAGAATTTCAAGCAACAATTACCTGCATGTGTGAAAATAAATTAGTGGTAAAAATAACATGAATGTTCAGTTATGCTGGTCAGTCAACACGAACAATTCTAAATAAAGAATAAATTGAATGTAGTCAAGGATAAATTGATTCCACATGAAAATTAGTTTCTCCTAATTCTCAAAATCACTTTTTGTGCTAATTAGGTATTTAGAACACTAGCCAAACAACTATTTTATTTAAAAATATTTGTCAGATGTACAACGTTACAAAAATAATTTTTTAATGCTTTACCAATAACCCAGCCTTTAATCATGTTTCCTTGCAGTCTTTTTTCATATGTTTATGAAATAACTAAGCCTTTAAGGAAGGGCGGCAGAAAAGGATCACTGCACTAGAGAGTTCTTTTTGTAACTTCAAATTGCAGCGGTCGTGGAGACTGCTGGTATTTTCGTTTCAGAGGTTAGCCAGACAATTTAATACAAAGGCTTATTTTCAAACGTTTCTGATCCTTAAGCCCAATAGGCTTATGTTCTATATTTAGTATTGATTTAGTATTACCAAGAAGCAGTCATTCTTTGGACCCTGGTCTCATATGTTCTCAGTTAGAGAGCGAGCGCAGAAGATAAGCAATTTCTGAAAGTTTGCAGATCAGAGAGCTGGAATTTTGGCATTATCCTCAAATACAGCAATCTTTCCAGACCTCCCTTAGAAAAGTTGTTCTTAAGCATTTCAACCTTTCCCACATGCCCAAACGGCTTAGGGCAGTTATCCAGTATGCCGGGGGTGGGGGCCGGGACACAGGGAGAGGGGTTAAGGAAAACATATGTTGCTTAGGAGAAGCTTGACAGATTTTCTTTCTCCCTTAGGGAGAGGCAGGGTCAGAGAGAGATGATTTAGGCAGCCTTTACAGCATTTCATTTCTGGGGTCACTCCATTCCATGAAACTTGGAAATGCAGCCAACTGTTTGTAGGCCACTTCCTAGAAAGAGTGACAGAGAACTTGAAACATTCACGTCTTTATTCTTTTTTTCCTTTGATGCCCTCCTGGAAACTCTCTTGCCTTAACTTCCATGATCTGTACCACCCCTTCAAGACCACTCCTTTCCTGACCGTCTCCCTCCCCTCATGTAAGTGTTTCGTGGTGTTTTGGTCTCTGCCATCTTGTATTGTTCTCACTTGTCACCGCAGTTTACTGCTACAGCTGTCACCTGTGTGTTCTGCTGATGAGTCCCAATCCCTGTCCACAGTATGCTCCACTCACTGAAGCTGTGCTGACTCTCAGCTATTCTCCTGGACATTTTTACCCAATCCACTGGCTACTCAAGCATGAGTCTCAAACTGAATTGTCCTGACCAGAATGTTATCTGTTTGTTAATGTAGGGCTACAGTTGGTCTGCTTTGATCTCCATATCTGCTTGCTAAATTCCTCAGAATCTGCCATTCTGTCTTTTGGATCCACCCTCTCTATTTTTACTGCTGATAAACTAGTTTGGATTCTACTGTTCTTTTGTTTGTTTTTATTTTTCAACTTTTTGCCCAGATTCCTAACTACTCCTTCCACTCTGCCCATGTTCATCTGACTCTTAGTTCCTTCGTTTTCTTTATTGGCCAGTTCTTGGCCTCGCTTCCCTAACTACTCAGTTTGGATGAGATAGTTAATCACCTTTATCACCCTTGACACCACTGGCCTCAACTTCCCACTTGCTCTTAATTCTCTTCCATCCTTTTACCTCCCCTGTGCCTAGAGTTCACCCCACCCTTACATCTGGGGAAGATGACCTGCTGGAGGAAGTGACAGTGCAGACTGATGCCACCGCAAACACTGGTGTTTAGTCCCAGCTTCTCCACATCAGTCTTCAATCCTTTTTACTTATTTGTCCTTCCCATTATACTTAGGAGCTGTTACAGACATAAGTATATGGACTCTAGATTTTGGTGGCCTTGGTTCAGATTCCATGTAACTTTGATTAAGTTACAGAATGTCCACCTCCATTATCTCATCTTTAAAATGCAGGTAAAAATACTATTCCATCATCAGACTCATGAGTATTAAAGGAGGGAACACAGACTTAAGACTGTCGCATCTCCTAGTACACTGTCCCTTGTTCCTGTGTTCCCTTCTAGTTTTACCCTATTTCTGTCCTCATGTAATTTTCTTGAAAGTCAAGTCCCCACTTGATGTCTCCACTTTTGTGCTTTTTTTTTTTCTGAGGAAGATTCACCCTGAGCAGAGATTAGCTCTGAGCTAACATCTGTGCCAGTCTTCTTCTATTTTGTGTGTGGGTCGCTGCCACAGCATGGCTAATGACTGGTTTAGGTCTGCACCTGGGATCCAAACCCATGGACCCAGGCTGCCAAAGTAGAGTGTGCCAAAACCAACCACCACGCCATGGGGCTGGCCCCTCCACTTTTGTATTTTTATTACCTGTCCCTCAACTGACTGCACTCACTTCAGTCTTCACTTGTCCACTTCGCTCAACTACACTAAAACCGCTCCAGCAAAGTTCACCAGTAACTGTTGCTAAAGCCAGCGGGTGCTTTTCAGTTCTTTTCTTTCTTGACTTCTTGACTTCAATGTCCCTGACATTCCAAGAACCATCACATGGTCCTCTGCTAATCTGCCTTTGCAGATGACTCAAGAATAAGAGTAACACATTAGATGACAGGAAATTAGATGACACGTTTGAAGAGTCCTTCCATGGCCTGGGACTCTACACGGACTATCTACCTACCTCCTCTCTGCTAGCAGTGATTCGATAGGGATCTTTGCAAAACCTGGTCTTTCCTTAGCAAAAGAAAGACCCTCAGATATAAGGGTGGGGTGAACTCTAGGTACCATGGAGGTAAAAGGCTGGAAGGGAAAGTTGAGAGAAGGTAGGACATTGAGGCCAGTGGTGTCAAGGGGTAGCAGAGTTGATAAACCAACTTGCTTGTGAAAAATGCCACGTGGTAAAGACAACTCAAAGCTTGAAGCCCATCAGAAAGCAAAATCCATTTATGTACATAGATATACATATATAGTTCTTATTTAGTATAAAAAATAAAAGTTAACGCATATGCCTACTTATAAAACCTGTGAAAGGGCCGGCCCGGTGGCACAGCGGTTAAGTTCGCACGTTCTGCTTCGGCGGCCTGGGGTTCGCAGGTTTGGATTCCGGGTGCGGACATGGCACTGGTTGGCAGGCCATGCTGTGG